GGCAGAGAGCCTAGTATACTGCCCAAAACATGTTTTTTTTTCTCCTGTTACCAGATGCCACCACTGACCATGCCTCCTACTTCCTGTTTCCTGTGAAGCCCAAGGCTAATGCCCTCAGGCAGATGCTTGAACCAAAAGATGACCCAGGGGACTGTGAATGAGAACAAGAATGCTGGCCTTCCCAAGCAGAGCCCCTTAGGGTCCTCTATAGTGACCCCGCCTTAGCAGCTGACACAAATTAGGCTGCTTCAGGGTGCCTCCATGGAGAGGGCTGCCATGCGTATTTACAGCCAGAGATGAGAACTGAAAGCCTCCAGTCTGTGCAGCCTTTTAGAGACACTTGGTTGCTTAGAACCCAGAGGAATGCTGTGTTAACTAGAGGAGGTAAAGCCAGTACGCAAACAGGTTCTGACGACTTTGCACTGGATTTGGGTGAGAAGCTGCTGTAGTCTCTGGCATTTCTGGTAAGAGCCACAGCAGTAGGGATTTGGCAGACCTCTGTAGAAACAGTTGTAGCAGATTTCAGAGTAGTAATCATTTAGTAGGAAACACGGGCATAAGAAGCTGTGCCCTAGACTCTAGGGTCTATGCTGTCCCTGGCAGATTACAGAATCCTTGGCTCTAGCACAGAGACCCTAGCTCTGCTCCCACTATTGAGGTTGTTCCAGCTCTCAAATTATCTTTGATTCTTGCATTAAAAGAGAAAAATGAGGGCTGGAGAAACGACTCGGCAGGTAAAGGTGCTGGTAGCCAAGCCTGACCGTCCAAGTTTGGTCCACGGAACCTATATAGGGGAAGGGAAGAACTGACTCCCACAAGTTGTCCACCACTGGCTTCCATGTTGATGCCATGCCGTGCTTATTCACAACATGCACAAACACATAAATAAGTAAAGTTTTAATTCTCAAAAATTTTTAAATTGATAAAATAATACAATTAAATTATTTAGCTGAATATAACTCTATTGAGACAAATGGACAGCATTGGGCTGGGACTGGAAGCCAGCAAGCGCTTTTCATTTTCTGACAAATCCCAAAACTATTTTCTTGGCTCTTTCAGATATTGTTGCTTCTTCTGACCAGGAAGTCACACTTTAAGAAAAGTTTATTGATATGTAAGAATACTTTATTTCCACTTCTGAATACTAGTTCTCCATATATATGATCGACGAATTCACTTTTTCATCATTGTATTCCTAGAAACCATTCTTGTGATATTTTCACAAAGAATGGGACTGTTCTATGCCCTCGTCCTAAAAATCTGCCTGAGGCTAAATTGAAGAGTTTTGGATTGATGGCAATGGCAGAGAAGACTTCAGGAAAGCCTAGTATTGACCGTGTCACGAGGTCATTAGTGGTCACTTTTACACAGATTTACAATGCATAAAAGCAAGCAAAGCGAGAAGAATACAAATTTTGCAGTTTGGAGAGAAACGGTGCACCAGGAAGTGGAATCCAGAAGAAAGAAAGGCCCAGCGCTCAAGGATATATTTAAAGAAAAACCTGGTGTTAAACGGAATAAAGGGAGTGGTGACCTCAGGGCAAGACCCCTAATCTTCCAACTCAGCAGCTAATCTTCCAACCTGTGAAAAATAACTCAAGAAAAGTTTAAGCAGTGAAGGAAGCCATTAACAACAGAATATAACTGAAGGAGGGGGCCAATTTCCATCCTCACCAAGCAGAGCAATTTGGCAGCTTTTAGTTGTGGCTTTACAAGAAATGAATTATGGAATATCCCTCCACTGGGCTAAGGAAAGTCACAGAGGCCAGGCATGTTTCAGGGGTGTCCCTACATTGAAGCCCAGAGAGGCTACTGTGTGAAGCTGTCAAGTTGAGTCCTGGATTGTTTTGGAGAATCCAAGATGTTGTAGATGTCAGAGCCGTGGGATACCTGCCGAGGAGAGCTGATTACAGGGAGTGGAACCAGACCAAGGCAAAGGGGTGTGTTGCAATCAGCAAAGCTGAGAGGACATGGAGGTCTTAAGAGCGTTTTGACATCAGACATGGAAATGCCGAGTTTGACGTTTGCCCAGATGGTTTTAGGTCTTGCTTCGTTCCAGTATTTCCTCACTGTGCTCTTTTCCCCATGTTTTGGAATAGTAATATATACCCTGTGCCATTATATGTTAGAAGTATGTGATTTGTTTTTTGATTTTGATTTTACATGGTGTTATAGTTAGAGATTACGTGAATCTCAGAAGAGACTTTGAACTTTGGACTTTTATAAAACTATGTGAACTTTTGCAGTTGTAGCAAATGCATTTGCATTATGATAAGGCCACAAGCATACGGGAGCCAGGGAGTGGAATGTAGTGGCTTGGGTATTGACCAAACAGCGACTAAGATGGGCCAAGGAAGTGAAACAGGAGGTTGAACCCTGAGGGTCAGCAAAAAGGCCTCATAATTCATTTGTATGACTCAACAGTGCCAATGCCTGTGATGTCAACATTACCTGAGCCTTCCGCACCAAGTTTTACCTTCTTCTGGTGGAGGACAGAATCTAATGAAATATAATTGCAAACGCCTCGTTTAGGATCCATTCTCCTTGTTCTCCACTCAAGGAGACTCTACGTAAATACTCTTTCAGCCATAATGCTTACACAGAATAAAAGAAAATTTTGCATATGTATCCTTTCATTTCCACATAACTTTTAGCGCTGTCTGAAGAAGCGATGATCAATCTAGAGCCATGGCTCTGCCTTTGCTGTGGACAATAAAGAAGGTACACAGCAGTGGTTCTCAACTTTCCTAATGCTATGACCCTTTAATAGGGTTCCTCATGTTGTGGTAACCCCCAATCATATTACATTCATTGCTACTTTATAGCTGTAATTTTGGGGCTGCTATGAACTGTAAGTGTTTGATATGCAGGTTATCTGATATGTGATTCCTGTGAAAAGGGTTGTCCCTTCTTTCAAAGGGGTCACATCCACAAGCCGAGAACCACCGGTATATATAGTGCGGTAGAGGCAGGCAGATCTCTGTGAGTTCAAGGCCAGTCTGGTCTACATAGTGAGTGCCTGGTCAGCCATAGGCTACACAGAGTGGAATCCTATATTAACACACACACACACACACACACACACACACACACACAAAGGGGAAGGTGGATCTTTAAGCATTTGAGACCATCCTGGTTTGCATAGTGAGTTCCAAGTCAGTCAAGGCTACACAGTGAGATTCCCGTCCCCCCTCCCACTGAAAAAATTACTAAAGATGGTTCCTGAGCAGCAATGATCATAACATTAGCACATAAAATTATTTTATTTGTATGGTTGTTTTATCTGCACGAGTGTCTGTACATCCCATGTGTATCCGATGTCAGTGGAGGGTAGAAGAGGTCATTTGATCTCCTGACACTAGAGTTACAGGCCTTGTGGAGTCACTCTATGCTTGCTGACGGAATTAGGGTCCTGGGGAAAAGCAGCCTGTGTTCCTAACCACCGAGCCATCTCTCCAGCCCACAAACATTTGTATTCTTACTCGGACAAGTCACCCACAGCTGAAAGAGATAACATGGCTATCTCATTCAGTAGTCACAAGAACCTTATGGGGAAGAAATGATTATTGTCTTCATTTAACAGCGGGAAAGGCACTTGCTGGCAAGCCAGATGACCAGAGTTCAATCCCCAAGGTCCAAGTGGTGGAAAGACAGAACTTATTCACACAAACAATGTTTGTGGTCTTCTGACCTTCACACATTCTCACCCCACAAATAAATAATTTTCTGTGGAAAAAAAACATGTGTTATTTTTAAATTCATATAAACATGGGAGGAAATTAATGAAATGGTACAATATCTTAAGTAAGGGGTGGGGGTTTTTAGGGACCTATTTCTTTGAGCTGTACTATTAGCTAGTGAAGGAGCCTAAGGGAGGGAGGGTCAGTATCGTCACTGTATCACAAAACCAGCCAAAAAGACATGAACATGGGAAAGGGACCATAGGGGTACTGGCAAGGTTGGGAGGAGGATAAGGGAGGGTGGGGGATGAGAATAATCAGAACCATTACACAATATATGAAATTTTGAAAGAATGCATTTAATAAACTATTTTTATTCAGTTACAGTAAAATTATCAAGTGAGGTTACAAAAGATACATATAACCATGAAAAGCACATACTCCACATTTTACTAGCCAATAATGGCAATCATAACATAAGAAAAAATGTATGTATTGCTTTTCATCAGCTAAATAATCTCAGCATATACTCTTAACAAGATTATAAACAAATAGTTTTATTCATATTGATTTGTGGCACACCCATGCAAATAAACTCAAAACACCTAAAACTTAAGCTGTTATTCTCCAACAATTTAAGCTAATCTCTTCCCAAGGCTTCCAGAGAGTAGATGAAAGAGTCCTAAGATATTCATCCTTTAAGTGGTGGCAAGGAAGCCATTATCAAACTTTGGAAGGCAAGTTTTTTTTCACCCCCAAGACATTTATTGTTTTCAAAAATAGACAAAAACAACATAGGAGCTGAGGGTTACTATTAAGGCATATTCTTGGCAGAATATTGGACTCTAAAAATACGGTAGGTAGCCAGCTGCTTTGCTGACACGGATCGGAGACAGAGTAGTCATTCACTTCAAGGAAGAATTCCCGTATCTGGGGTGTAACTAAGGTTTTCAAGAGAAAGCAAAATGATACAAGGCTAATGTTTTTCCATAGTGCCTCAAATTGAGACCTAAAGAAAAGTATGTGGGATTTTTTAAATTTTATCTGCACCACAACTGCTTATTGCCTTTTGTTTTTAACGAGAATTAAACCCACTAATAACAATGAAAATAATATGAACCCAAACTAAAAAACCCGAAACAGAGGGATAAGGTCTCTCCCAACATAGAGTTCAAGTGCAAGCTTTCAGTGAACCCCTCAAACCTGCCAGTGGCTTTGTCATTCCTCCTCACCCCAGTACTCTCAGTAGGGAGGAGACAGCAAGGGCTTTCCCCAGCACCCCCACAATGTCTCTCCCTCATCATGGTCACCTTTTTTGCCTCATTTGTCTGAGTCTGAGAGGCGGCTGAAGATGGGCAGACGGCGGCTGGATTTGATTCTGGGAGATTCGGAATCATTGAGGTTGCTGGAGCTCGAGGAGCAACTCAGAAGGTTGTCGAGGTTGTTGGTGCCCAACAGGGAATCCAGTCTGCTGGTGAGCATGTCGAAATCCGGCGACTCAGACTGGGTGCCTGGCAGTTGGAGGCTGAAGTGCTGTGCAGGACCTTCGGCAGCGGTGGCAGCCGGGATAGAGGCAGAGGAGGTGGTGTTGGCAGCTGCAGTAGCAGCAGGGACAACTGCAGCCGTGGCGGCGGCGGCGGCGGCAGCGGCGGCGGCGCCAGGGTTGACTAAGATGGCAGCGGCAGCCCCGGGAGCTATGGCGGCCGTGGCCGTGGGAGCAACAGAGTTCGGGGCTAAGATGCTGGCTGGAGGCCTGACAAGAGGCATCGGGAATTGCATAGGAGCTGCCAGGTTCTGCTGCTGGCTGTGATAGATGGTGGTGGCATTGGCGGCAGCGAAGTTGAGGGTCGGGAATGCCACAGGCGCCATGTAGCCACCCATCGCCTGGCTGATAACGATGGTATGGTTGGCACAGGTAGTGCATGGGACTCCGCCGCCGTTTTGATACAACATAGCAGCTGCAGACGCAGCTGCCAAAACAGTCGCAGAGGCGGCAGCCATAGAGGCACAGTAAGTCGCGGGGAGAGTAGCTGCAGGGTATGAAGGAGGCAGAGGCATACCTGAGCTCAACAGCGGGGTACTGAGCAGCAGAGGCGCCTGTTGAGGATGGCTGTGGCCTGAAGGTAAGGTGGAAGAGCTGACAGAGCTGGCCGTCTGCATCATCGGCTTTGGCTCCTCGTTGAAGCCGGAGGACCCTGTGTCGGAGGGCCCCGAGTCGCTGCCATTGGCGGAACAGGGCTCCTCAGAGGCGCTCCCGGAAGGCACGACTTGATGATCATGCTGGTTGTGTATGAAGTGGCAACGAGTGCCATAGGGGCAGATGCCAACGCTGTGGAAGGTGCGGCAAGGCTCAGTCTTGTACTTGGGGTGCCTCAGCGGGGTACGCAGTTCTCGGGAACCGTGCGCAAACTGGCACTTTTGGCCATACCTGCAACGGCCGCTTTCCTCAAAGGGCCAACACAGCTCAGTCTTATAGCGCTCCGAAGTGACCGCAGAGCTAGAGCTACTTGCCTTCTGCTGCGGCGGCGGCATCGGCATCGGCTGCGGCTGCGGCGGCATCGGCTGCTGCTGCAGGCTAAGCTGGCCGTTCTCCTGGTGGAACTGCTGCACGGCTAAGGCCCCTGAGGGTGGCTGGGGAGCCGTGCCTGTTGCTCCGCACTGGCCATTACCGAAGCTGCTGGCGCCTCTCATGAAGCTGGAGGAACAGCCTAAGGTGCGGCTGACGGCTCTCGTAACCAGGTGAGCGAGCGCTTGTGGGTTGCTGACTGCCGGTGGTGGGATGAATCCAGGTAAGAAGCTGGAGCTGGGAGGAGCTGCCCTATGTGTGTTGAACATGCCATTCAGGTTGTGGTTGGCCAGAGGCATCCGGTTCCTGCGCATCAAGTCTGGATTGTAGACGCTCCACAGAAGTGTGGACATTTTTCGGAGTCCTGTAACGTCAGAGCTAGAAGCAAGGAGGACGGGAGAAACCTCCGTGACAGAGTCAGCAAGCTTGAAACACGAGGAGAAATAGCGAGCAGGAGGGGCAGGGAGGAGCCAAAAGTTTGTTCATACCCAGTGGGAGGGCTGCTATAAGAAGGAGATAGCATAGACCAGGTGTGGGTCAGGCTTACGATGTGCAGGTACACCACCAAGATGAGGGTGACGCGGAGTAGCAAAGATGGTTGAACCCCGCTTTGCACTGGTTGAGTTTATACGTCCCCCCAGGGCACTAGTACTCGAATAGTTGAAACTCATGAGCCAGCAAAAGCCACGCCCAAAAGCACCCCACAGTCCTCTTTCCTGGAACTCGTAGTAGGGGGAGGTCTTTATTCTAATTTCTTAGCCTAAAGATTTTGCGTTTGTCCTTCCAACTCAATGAAAAATAACTACTAAACTACAAATAATCCCACAACTCCCATCTTTTAGTAACGAACCCCTTTTCTACACCCCACCCCCACCCCCGTTCAGCCAGTACAGACTTCCGTCCAAGCCCAGGCTCCGAACCCACGCCGTGGGAAGATGCTTGATTTTCTCCAGTTGTTCTCTGACTTTCACGTGTGGGTCACAGCATGTGTGCATAATCCACCACAACCCATGCCCAAATATATACAAATGTATTTTTTAAAAAGTAGACATTTTTGTTGTATGCATTAAAGGTGGAATTATGGGGGCTGGAGAGATGGCTCAGTGGTTAAGAGCACCGCCTGCTCTTCCAAAGGTCCTGAGTTCAATTCCCAGCAACCACATGGTGGCTCACAACCATCTGTAATGAGATCTGGCGCCCTCCTCTGGCGTGCGGGCATATCGAGGCAGAATGTTGTATACATAATAAATAAATAAAATCTTTAAAAAAAAGGTGGAATTATGGTCATTGAGATGGTTCAGTGGGTAAAAGGGCTTGCCACTACACCTGAAAACCTAAATTTGAATCCAGAACCCACACAGTGGAAATTGAGAACTGATTTCTGAAAGTTGTCCCTTGACTTTTATACTAACACCAACATGCCCCAGTGCCCACATACAAACACACACAGAATAAATAAATAAATAAACAAACCCCACATAAAAAACACAGAATGAATAAACAAATGAACAAATAAATAAACCACATACAAACACACACGGAATAAATAAATAAATAAATAAATAAATAAAAGAATAAAGCCATATTGGGGTGATGTTTTTCAAAATGGTGAAATTAGGGCTAGTAAGATAGCTGAGCGGGTAAAAGGACACTTGCAGCCAAACCTGATGACCTGAGCTGGAGTCCCTGAACCCATGTGGTAGGAGAGACTCTCCTAAGATAAGATCTCTTTTGACTGCCAGGCCTGCCTGTGCGGTGGCAAATGGTACATGCCGTGTCCTCCCCCACCAAATAAAATAAGATACAAAATTTAAAGTCATTTTTCTGTTCTATGCATGCAAGGTGGTAGAATTAGGGTTATCAAGATGGATTAGTCTCTGTGAGTTCAAAGCCAGCCTGGTCTAAAGAGCTAACTAGTTCCAGGGCAGCTAAAGCTGTTGCATAGTGCAACCCGGTTTCAAAAAAATAAAAAGAATTGGTACTTAGTTTGCTCCCCAGCATTCAAAGGGTGGAAGGAGAGACTCAACTTTTGCACATTCTTCTCTGAATGACCTCCACACACTTGCAGTGTGGCAGGACAACACACATAAAACTTACATAAGTATGTGTAATCTGAATTTTTAAGCCATCTTCTGCTGTATACATTCAAGATGGTGAAATTAGGGCAGGTAAGAAGGCTCAGCAAGTAAAAGGTTCTTGGTCTCTGCTTTCTTCCATGTGGATTTCAAGCCCTGAACTCACATGGGAGAAAAGGGGACAATTTCTCCGTGTTGTTCTCTGACACATACAATATACAAACAAATAATTTATAATAAAAAAGTCCGATTTTTGTCTACATGCCTTCAACATGGTAGAATTAGGGCTGACTATAAATGATTCAGTGGGTACTTGCCACCAAACTGATAACCTGAGCTTGAACCCTGGGATCCATATTGCAGTACAGAACTGACTCTGGTGTTTGATTTTTCAAACAAAGGATATGTATTTATGCTCAGAAAAAATGGGGCAAACTGAGTACTGAAATAGCATGGGTATTATATGTTTCATGACAAAACTTTTCCAGGAGAAACAAAATACACATGACTATTCACCCCAAATAGGGAACCCAAGACACACTAAACTTCAAATACCACCAAAGTCCAATTGGGTGAACTAAGGGTTTTATTGGGGTTACTTACAGGAATATAGGTGAGGGGTTACTTACAGTAGCAGAAATGACTCAAAGACAGCTGCATCACCAAAGTCCACCCCTGCCCTGGTGACAGCTCCCAGAGGTGGGAACCTGGAGCACACTGCACAGCTTGCAGGCGGCTCAACAGGATGGAAGGTGCCATTTCCAGGGGCGTCAGTTGGTGGAAGCCTCTTCCAAGCAAGCGGCTCCTGCTTGGCTAGCTTCTGCTTCTTCCAGGCAGCGGGTCTGATCTCCTCTGAGAGTCTTTTTTGCAGCTGGGCTTAGAAAGGGACTCACAGCAGCCTTTATTCTTCAGGCTGGCAGGGAGGGGCCTGTGAATGTGGTCAGTTTGGGGGACTTCTTGGAGCTCTTTGGGGGTTGTTTACCTCCCTACTTAAGGAGCTTCCTGAAGCTCTTTGGGGTTGTTTACCTTCCTGCTTAAGGAGCTTCCTGCAGGGTGGAATCTTTCTATCCTCCGAGGAAACTGTTCTTTGGCAGTGTAAGGGCTTTTGCAGTTTTATTAGTTCCAGTTTCAACAACAGCCTGTAACCTGATAATATGGTTTAACATATACATGGAAGTGGGGGTGCTCTCAGGACCCATCCTCTGCAGACATCTGGCATCTTTCTAGTTGACAATTTGAGTATTGAATTTTCTAGGTGGCTGCGTTATAGAACCTTTGACCCAGGCATGCCAGGCTTCCAACAGAAGTGATAAATCACACTTCCATCAGGTAAGACAGTTTTCCTAATAATTTAAGTTTTGTTTTGTTTTCTGAGATAGGTCTCTCTGTGTAGCTCTGTGTGGCCTGGAACTCACTGTAGACTGGGCTGGCTTCAAACACACAGAAGCCTCTGCCAGCGGGATGACAGGATTAAAGCACACTTAGCTCCAATAATTGAAATGTTAAGGTGCCAAACCCTAGTAGCAGGACTAGAGTACCCTGTCTAATTATAAGGTTTGCAGGGATTCAATTCTTTAGTCTCTCAAGGCCATTGATCGTCCATGCTAGTTTCCTCACAAACAAGACCAGAAGAGACCTTTAGAGTCTGGCTATAGGCTCTGCCATGACCAAAAGTAGATTTCATGTTATAGTAGGGATGGGAAGTAGGCTGCTTTTTATTTCCTCATAAAAAGAATGGAGGGCCTGGGTTTGGCTTTCTGGATGAAAAACTCTTGAAATGTAACAGTCCCTATATCCATGCCCTGTTCCAATCTGCCAGCCAGTTTTCCATCAGGGATTTCTTAGGTTAGGGATACTGAAATGGACAAGGTTACCAGGTCCCTAGTTGACAGCCTGATGCAGCAGCCTCCTTTTGAAGGAATACCATGTTGTACTTTCCCTGCCAGTTGGCTCATGAGATGTACCAAGTAGGGACAGTGGAAATGGGCATTAGGGGTGCATTTGGGAGAATTGGGGGCTGCTGCACATGCAATTATCATTTAGCCTGCATTCCCACTCCCACCACAGCCCTCACAATAGCTCAACAAAGTTGATCAGCCATTAATCACGGTTGCATACACATATAAAAGTATTGACACTGGCTGTCCTAGGTTAGAGTTGTATCTTCTGGATCATTTGTCCCTTGACCAGGGGGATGGCTGTGAACTTCCAATCGTTCTTTTCTTGGCGAGCACTGTGCATCAGAACATGTATAGTTCCTCCCATGCTGGCAAAAGGAATAGGTGATATTGTTATGCTCACAGGAGCCCTGGACCTTTCCTTGGTATGAGAAATGGGTGTGAAAAATAAAGCAGTGTCCAAGTGAGCCCTCAGCCCAAGTGACCTAGGTGAATAGAGTGGATCACAGAATGAGAGGCTGGACCCACAAAGCAGGGCCAGCTCAGTAGTAGCCATGCATGCTATCCACAGGTGGAAAAAAAAAGTCCTGACAGAAATATTCACAACAGGCCCAGTTAACTGCCTGTTTACTCCAGATAGGGCATCAGTGACAGAAGCAATTCTAAGTTTACCCCTGTGAACCAGTGATTTTCTTGGGGCTTCTTACAGGAACATGGATGACTCAAAATGCAGCTGCATCACAGATACCCACCCACCCCCCCATGGGTGCTGACACACAAAAGCTCTATCCCCAGGAGCTTTCTTCCCAACCTGCAGGCAGCTCCTCCTAACAGATAATCTCTTCACCCCTTCAATTGTTTACTTCTTTTCTGACCTTTGGGAAGGGCCCTGCAAACCTTACAGCTTTTCTAATTTGTGGGAGGGCCTTGCAAAGCTTACAGCTTTCTGAGCTTCTGAAAACTTGTGTTTTAGTTAGTTCTGAGTTGTTGGGACCCTCCATCCTCCCGAAGGGGCATATATTTCGGTTCTGAGGAGACAGCTACATAGCATTAAAAGATGCCATTTACCTCTTACATAGTCACTGTTTTTCAAAATAACAGAAGATGTTTATTAACTCACTCATCATTGTTATGTATTTACTATATTTTTATTTTATTATTTACGTATTTATGATTTGCTTTTTCTTCAATCAAGAAAGGTCCAAGTCTATATCTATACTCACTGTTTAAAAATCATTCCTTGGCAGTCTGAGGTGACATTTTCTTAATCAAATATTGGCCATCCTAGAACTTTCACCTGCATGGTGTAATTAACGATGAAGTTTGAGTAACTTAAATTTCTATCAGCTAGGACTTTGAAGAAATTCTGGTGAGTACATT